TTATTTAAAAGCGGTGCCTTCAATCTGGGATGTACTATGTATCGTATGTTCCAGCTTCAATCAAAAGATTGGATTCAGAGACATATCAATTGCTTTGCGCGAATATAATCAAAAATGATAGACATACACGTTCGCATTTTAAAAAGAAGTTTTCAAAAGGAACCCATGACATGTCTGGAATTTTGGCAACGAACGCCCTCCATAACGAATTGCATTATTTATATTTATGTCAACAGTTGTCGCAGAATTCATGCACTATGCTAAAAGGTGGTTGCGGTTCAGTGGTTTACATGACTAAATTACACAAGCAACAAAAATGGTAACAGTAGGAATTGTATCGGTTTGGCCTTTGTTTTGGTCTTAACAATAAACGAATGAAACTTTTATCAGTTCGGTCTTTACAGTAGAAATATTCTTATTTATTTCTTTTATTATTTTGCTCTGTCATCTTTGTGATAACATTAAACTTATTTGTTTATTCTAGCTTTGTCTAAATGCTGAGGCATTTTATTTGTTCCTTACTATTTGATTTTCTTTCTATTCAACTTTATTCGTAAACGTGAATCGTCATTTTTTTGTTTGCAGTGTTTAAATACATGTAGTTGTAAAGTAATAGTATTCATTATGTTGATCTAAAATGTAAAATATGTTATAATAGTTTTTGCTTAATAAGTTGAAATATCATCTTAGCGCATGAGATAAAAATCCTAAATTTTCATCTCCCTAACCCTCAAAATTTACAAAAAGTATCATTTATGAAAATTGGCGAAATCGGGACAAAAACAAACTGATGACAAAGTGAATATATAAAGCATGAAAGAAAAGGGATTTCATTATCTTTCAAAAATGTATTACACACAAATGATAAAATTTTGAACCAGATAAAAGGGTTGATCAAAAAGGGTAAGAGAAATGTTAAAATAGTGAATGGCAAGAACTACTTCTCATTCACTTCAAGTCATCACAGGTGAAGAAAGACTTAAACATGCCACTGTGTGAAAGGACCACGTGAAAGCAAAACACAAAGTGGAAACCAGAGGTGCTCCGCCTAGCAAAATCATTCAGTTTTAATCGATCAAAGGTGCATCCAGCACAAACATGTTCCATTTAGACGAGAAAATGTAAATAAAATGATTCCCAATCTAGCGAAATTCTAAAGAATTGTCATGGTTACATAGGGTGACATGAATGAATAAAACATAGAATTGATCATGAGCATATATATAAGCAAACTTTAATGATCATTACAACAACACATACCCTTAATATTTTTAGCAAGAAAACAAGAGCCCGACGAAACAAGGTAGAAGACAAAGCATAAAATGACCCAGTTAGAGAAAGCTTACCGTCAAACTGTAAATGTGTTTAGCTTCCATTTTCTCAAACCTGCCTCCTTATTACTGCTTTGATTTATTGTAAAACTTTTAGAGAAACATTTAGGTTTTTAAAAATCAACAATACATAAATGTCAGAATATGAACGGAAGTCATACATTTTTCAAATACAAAAGTGCAAAGTTACTTTTGACGTCATATATATCATTCATTTCTTTACTTTGACAGTAAACATATGTTTTTCTTCCCTGTTCAGTTACACAGTTTCAATCACGTTAATTCAGAAGAAAAAAATGCTGTTCGAATATAGATAAATGCTGCTCTATGTACCTTCATGTCCAGGAGATAAATTTTACATTTAAGGTAGATTAGTTTATTCAGAAGCATTTCTCATCAAAGTTTCCGTTGAATGATTCCGTTGAATGATTTTAATCATATATAACGCATTGAATTGAAAGGTTACTTGTATTTTATAAGATATATTTTATAATATTATACCTCATTTGCATACGCCCTTCTATATTTAATATGACGTCACCCGGTCCATAAACCGCAGACAGACCGGGGGCCGGTCCATAATTCTTATGAAGACCGTTTAAACGTAACTTTCACGAAGTGCAAATTTTCACGACGACACAAACAGACGATAACTGTCAAAATGGCCAAGCTACCCGATTCGCATCATTATCTGAGACCGATTTAGTTAAAACTCAGTGAATCTAAGGATTCGAAAAACACAAAAGCAGCAACAAAACATTCAGTAAAGCTGTTCAGGACATATCTGGCTGAAAAAGGCCACGATTCTTCCTTTGAAACTTACACGAACGGGGTTCTGAACAGTCGACTGCGTTTGTGCTACGCCGAGGTTCGAAATGCGTCTGGAGAACGATATAAGAGGACATCCCTGATTGCAATACGAAGTGGAATATGCAGGTTATTACATTTTCTTTATCTGTTAATATTTTATGTCTATTTTAAAATTTTTGCAATATTTTATTTTTTCGTCCCCAGACCATTTCGAAACAAGCGGACTTTGCCCTCACATTGTTGCCATAATTTTGATTAAAAATTAAGGATTAGACAGAAAAGTCTAACAATATACTTAAATGACATGGCTTTGAGTATGTTGTATGCAGGGCTTTTTTTTTTGTTAAAAAAATATTAGTAGGGTCCCTGTCACCCATGACTGCTGTCAATAGGCCCATAAGGATTTTGTGTAGCTATATATAGATTACTGAAGAAATTGGCAGTTTTACAGTCTTGGCCCTAAGATAATAGATCTTGATATTTTGATTGTTTTTCAGATCTTGTTTATTTTATAGATAAGGCTAGCTATACTTATATATTTTTTTATTTTCAGGTACTTGTGTCAATCTAACAACATCGACATAACTCGAGATGTGGACTTTAAAGAAGCCAACGACATGTTTGTTTGTATGTGTAAAGATACCTGCAAAACAGGTAAAGGAACTGTTGATCACAAAGTGTCCATCGAGAAAGCAGATTTAGAGCGTTTATACAGTTCCAGGATGCTTGACACTACCACACCGTATGGGCTTTTAAACAAAGTATGGTTTGAATTATGTCTGTACTTTTGTAGGAGAGGGCGTGAAAACACAACGTGAGCTGAAACCATCCATGTTTAATATCAGAACAGATGCCTTAGGCAAGCGGTAATGTCTGTCAGGTGGATTCAGAAGTATCCAAAACCACCAAGGCATTAAGCATAGTGAAATTCAAGATAAAAATGTGAGAATGTATGAAACGGGTGGAAAGAATGTGTCCAGTAAAAAGCTTTGAGAAATATTTGTCAAAACTGAATCCTAAATGCAAAGCTCCTGTTCCAGACACCAAGAGAGTCCTTCTTTTGACTCAGACTCGGTCTGGTATGAAAAATCGCCCACTTGGGAAAAACAAGTTAGGTACACGTATGAAGGAACTATCTGTTGGGGCCGCTCTTTCCCAGGAATACACCAACCATTGTATCAGGGCAACGGCTATAACCGCTCTCAGTCATGCAGGATTTGAAGCGGACAGGCACATAATGACAGTTTCTGGTCATAGAAATGAGGCCTCAGTCAAAAGTTATGTTTGTGACACAACCGTAACTCAGAAAAAAGAAATGTCTGCTACAATCAGTAGTTTAGCACCAGAATCTGCCAGTGTACATGAGTTTGAAGATGGCTTGGATTGATGTTTTTGTCACTATCTCTGTCGCAGACTGAGTCAATTCTGAAGGATATAACTTCTTTTGAAAACCAACAAACATCCAGTACGATAAACACTGACCTAGGACAGTTTTCTAAGCCACATCCGCAACATCTCTCTGCAGGCGCTGTGATTGGATCCGAGCTTGTGGGAGCTGACACAGTAGCGCCACATCCAACTGGTCTTTCTGCCGGCCCTATGAATGAGATCAACCATGTGCGAGCCGAAAGTTCACTTCAAATACAAAACAATGCCCATGCTCACGGACAGTCATCATTTTCCTTCCATGGATGCCAGATCCAGTTTCATAATTATAACTAGATGATTTACACTACAGAAAATTTAGACAAAAATCCTACAATAAATACTTTAAATTATTAAGTGAACAAGTTGTGCTTTAAAACTTTCAATATTCAGTGTATTAGACTAGTCTAGACTTGTGATAAATATGTAAGAAATGGATGAAGATTTTTTGTATGTGTCGATATATACATTTTGTATTAGCTGTATAATTTAATTTAATTTAATTTTAGTTATCATTAGTGTAAGAGAATTTGTCAGTGAGATTTTATTTTGTTGTTAAATGATTATTTTTACTGAATTTATTGTTGTGTTTTCACATTAAATTATTACATGTTGATCAAAAGTCATGATTTGTCTTTAATTTAATTATAAATTTTTATTTATACAGTTTGTGAAATTCTTAAAGTCCGGGTGTTTTGCTTAGTAACATTTAGTATTTAATTTTATTAACAAAAATGAAATGTTAAAAGGGACTCCACTGAGGTTTAAAAGCCTAAAAACAAAATATTTAAATTTCTTACATGAATGAGCTGAGGCACTTTAAAAAGAAATATATGCAAAGATAGTTAAGAAATATACTTTGAAATGAATTGAAAATCGTATTTTTATGCTTTTCTTAACCCGATTTGAGTGAAAAGCGTTTTAAACGCTTTTCATTTTGTGTCATTTTTTTAATATTTGAATAATTATTCTGGAAAAAACGAAGTGCGCGAATGATCTAAAGATTTGTTGTCTTACCCTATATCAAATGGTACATTTATCTGGAAAAATATTTTCAACCCCATCATGTCAAAAAACCTCAGTGGAGTCCCTTTAAAAGAAGAGCATGATTTTGATGCATTGCTTGAAAATAATAAAACAAAATCCGACTAGGGTTTGAGATATTTCACACACTGAACAAGTAAAATTATTATTTGAAAGCAAATAATAGTAAAAATGACAACAAAAAACAAAGGGATTACAGGATTTAGATTCGGTATAATATAACAAATAAAACATGGCCTTGAGGGCAATATGGAAGGCATATGGCCCTCAGCTGCGCTTCGGGCCATATGCCTTCCTCAGTCTGACCAACCAGTCCGTAAACTTGCATATTGCCCTCAAGGCCATGTTTTATTTGTTAAAGATACATCATCCCCATGAAAATTACTTTATCTGCTGTGAAATTACTTCTTTTAATCAGCTGGGAAAGAAAATCTAATCAAAATATGTAACTGATGAACGGAATTTATAGATGTGGTATTCGATCATATTATTTATTAGTATACTGCAGAGACTTTTTTCGAAAATTATATACTAAGCAAAACAGGCTGGAAATCTATTTTTTATTGAGAAAATGTTTAATGTATTAAAGGTATCAATTTCAAATGGAAGTAAACGTAATTTTGATAGAACGCAAAAAAAAAAACAATAAATGAAAATAAATCAATGCTGAAGAAGTATATGATCATTATGGTTTTTAAATTATAGTTATTAAAAATGCTTATTTCAATCATGCTTCATAATGCTGAACAATGTTGTTTAAAGTTGTCTATAATTTGTGTATGAGATACTTGTTGAATTAAGTTTAACACTTCTTTTGTAAATAACTTAATTGCATTATATGTTAAGTCTCTTTTTATTGTTAGATAACAAACTTTGTTTCAATGACATTGCCATAAAAACGCGAGGTTGTTAACTGAAATAAACGAACAATTAATTCATTATTATTTTGCCTCCCTTTTCTAAATCTATTTAGGATTTCTATCAATTACTCATTTGAGATTATACAGATACCGTTCTATGCACATGCTTTGTATGTTAAAAGTACCCAAGGTACTCTCCCTTTACATGTATTATATATGCTTATATTTTTTGTATGCATTCTATTGAGCCTCGAAACTTTGTTAATATTTATTTACCTCATGTTGTCAATGTCTTGACCTGAGAGAAATAAAGATATTTGTATTTGTATTTGTAACACTGATTTTGCGTATTCATATATAAATGTCAGAACAGGTGTCCTTTGTCTGATTCATAGTATTATAATTGTGTCGTCACAGAAAGGATATGCTGAAAGAGGACATAAACCAGAATTGTTAATATATACACTGGCGCTTAAAAAGGTGACAATTAAATGAATTAACTTTTTTCTTAGTCATTTATTTGTTATACATATATTAAGATCATCTAACAATATACATTTACCTTCAATTTTAATCAAGACTCTTCTTCTCCTTAGTAAGTAATTGATATATACAAGGCGCTTAAATCATTACATATTAAATAATATGAGACTCACTAAGGAGAAGAATTTCATAAGACACGTTGTCTTTCATTCTAATCCTGTTTTTAAAGAATATTTGAATTGCTCTGTGTATATCATGTATATATATTCTGAGAAATAAAATATGTTTAAACTAAACTAAGACACTTTATGCTGTTGATAAAAGCAGCATAAGTGAAATCAAAGCTTTCGTTCACCTTCATAGTAACATGATAAAATAAGATAAAAACTGGTAACAGTACCATATAAAAGCTTAAATTTCATAAGCACCTTATTTTATAGATATTCTTTGTCCTTTCTTACGCTACAAAGTGAGCACAGTAAAAGACATATATCTGCCAAATTGCTGCATTCGTAGAATACCAATGAATAATTTATGCTTTGTCCTAGTATGTCATTTATTTTACAGAATAAAAATTCAGTTTTACCACTTTCGTGCCAGTTTTATTACAAATGTATTATCATTAAAATTTTAACTTATTCTTGCTGTACAAATATCATATCTTTGCTGCAGTTTTGTCATTTTGTTTGGTGTTCCTTAACTTTTCTTTAAAAATTTATTTGTAAATAAAAACATTGAAAACTGCATAAGAGTTTATTCGTAGCTGCATTTTTCGTAGGAAATAACAAACAACTGTAATCGTATTTGTATTTATTTTCCTTACAAATCCGGACAAAACTGACAATTTTTGTCACAGTTCACTTAATAAATTGGGCGAGACAAATTGATATCGAATTGTCACTAAAAGTGCAAAATGTTCTTATTTCCCAACTGATTATAAATTGAATTAGATAGGATTCTTGTCAAATTTACCACACCTTTTGCATCCAAATTATTCTCTCGGCTCAAAATCCCCATAGAAGAAATGACGGTTGATTTGTCTTCTTGTTTCTATTCATAATAAAAGCAGCAGGATACTACATTTATTAGCTTATGTCAATGAAAATGAAAATTAATATCACCTTCAATTTCAAGATAAATGTTTATGGTCAACGGGAGATAATGTATTGTTTCGAGATCAGTTTTAATGCATACGCAATAACTTCTTTCAAAGACCATTGCAGACTTTCGATTAGTCGATATCAGACGTGCTGCTGACTTCCACGTTTTATTTAAAAATGATATACGTACCAAGCAACCTGGGTAATGCATAAAATCTTTTATTTTTATTTCTCAAAAGATTTTTATATTGGTGTTCAGTTATAGCTTCCAAACGGAGAGTATACTCATTTGCCATTTACCTAAACAATCTTTTGCTACTGATTTTAGTGCGGGTTTTATTGGGGGGTCCAACATACTCTTAAACTATTAATACTCATAATACTCATATTTGATTTGCCCTTTCTTGAAAAGGAAAAAAGTAATCATGTATAATGTATAAGGAGGGTCTTCTTTACAGCAGTATAAGGCTCAAAGCCCGTATCCAAGTAAAATATGCTTGAGATTTCCGCATGACATTGTCCTTTATCGGACCAGCGATTTGTTCTTTCTGCATATAATTTGAATTTTTCCCCAGTTAAACATATGTTCTTACAAGCATAATTCGGTACAGTACATATTATCTCATCTAAAAGAAATCCTAAATGTCAAATAGATATTTGATTATCCAGACGAATTGTCTTCAAATGCATTTCAGTACATTTGGATCAACGCACGGAAATTGATGATGTACTTTCTGTTGGTTTTTAAGGTCAACTTCTATATATGCATCTATTAAAACATTTATAGTCTAAAATTGTAATTTGCACCCGTAAGAAGACAGTTTTGTTATTAGTCCTGATGAATGTGGTATTCATTGGGTTAATTTTGACATTCAAGTGTTTTCTACAATTTGAAGTATTTAATCG